ATATCTATTTAATATTATCATGTAAGCTATTAGTGAATGGAATAAAATGAATGTAATATTATAGCTTATATTTTAAAATATTTATTATAACACGTTTTTAATTAGAGAAAATCGAATAGTTTTTAAAATACAATTATTCCTTCATATTTTGTTAAGCATAATATCTAAATACCTAGTATACGATAAAAAAAAAACATTGAAAAAACAGCATAATATTGTGTTATTACCTCACTCTGACGAAAACTTCAATTGGTTTTTCATTTGAAACATTTTTTTTCTGGAGAAGATGGTCTGCCATTGTCAACAGTTATTTTGTAAAAAATTAAATTACTATTAATCGAGTTAAAATACGTGTATAATTATTTATAAAAATGACTTGTAATCGTTATAACAATTGTTATGAGTTGAAGTCAATTTACAGTTACGAGTTAACAGATACACAATTTACTCAATATATAATTAAGCGACCGCAACGTCAAATACCAATCAAAATTCAAATTTCAAATTTAACCGACAGTCGACGTACGACTAATCCTTAGCGGTTGCAGGTTATGCACTATAGACTGTACGGTCTTCACTGCAATGAGAAATGAGAATATGAGATCGTATTTCCGTAGCGGACAATAGAAATGTAGAAACTCGATTCTTGACCGTTAAGACTTAAATTTTGTAAACAAACATTTATCAACCAACCAACATTCATTATACAATCACAATATTGTCGTCCATATTGGTTAAAAATTATCATGGCCAATAAAACGTGAAAAGTCGTTATTAATTGATATGATCCACTACCTTTTGTTCCACAGAATAGTTGTTCCCCCGATTTATTTCGTGCATGATCACAGACATATACTAATACGTATTAGTGTATATCTGTGTGCACGATTAATAAACACTGTGTCTAGATACTCGGGTGCCCGTGTCGATTAAGCGTACACGGACCCATCCGTGTATATATTCGATACCCAAATTGGTCGAATTGTTAACGCGCATGCGCCATAGAGACTATAATATTATTTCATGTTTATATGCTATTTATAGACAAACTAATTTTATATTTATTTTATTTTAATTTATTGTGACGAATTTATGATTTCCAACATTAATTTATTGTTTATTACATATGTATATTTTAAATGAACAAGTGCAGTTAAGGCTAATTTACAGATTTTATTAATTTATGGTAAAATATGTTTAATTTCTACAGATTTAATCATGAGAGTATCAATTAATGTACTTGAATCACTATCATTGCACATCCCAATTAATATTTCCATCTCTGCTTGAACAGCATCAGAGCTTACAGATCGCCTAAATATTACTCCTTATTAAATAGTCACGACTAGACCCCCTCTTAAGTATAGATAAATAAAATCGAATGAAAGTTATACACACACGGATCACGATAAACACGACGAATGTATGATTCACTAAAATCTACTCAATGACAGATAACTACTTATCCCAATACGTATCAGATAAGATAAGCAAACGACTTTTCCAGATTATATGGACTATAAATACGTTATTTTAATTAAAATAATTCAAAATTTTACATAATATTATGCATTTAAAAACCATATATTATATATGCAATAAAAAAAAAATCGTAAAATACAGAAATATGCAGTGCATGTCAAAAAGTTACAAAATATGCAAAAAAAAAAAGCAAAATAAAACTTTAAATTTAAGATCTATTGACTAAAAATCAAACTTGTAACTTAACTAGCTATTTCTTGGACTATTCAGAAAAAACATGTAAATGCATATAAATCCGAGCCCGGCTAATGTTACTACTAGATCACACGCCACCGCGATTCCGATAACGTTCGTATAACCGCTAATTTCCGGTAACCGATCCCCGCCGGTCGACGCACACACATAACATAAAACGCTCATGACGTCATGGTAACATTCTCGGTGTCGCACAAATTAACTGAATGATCCTCAGCCATAAGACATGTCAATGTAAAATATAATATGTTATAATAATAATATACGTATGTACTTTGAATGTATAAATCACATAACTGTTTAACTCAATAAAAAATTATTTAATGTAATAAGAAAACCAGCGTGTTAATTCTATTACAACAATAAAAATAATGAATACAAAATATCCTTTTATTTAACAAATTGTTGATCATACAACTATGTATAATATAATAATAATAATTCATTACTATGTAATTTAATAACATAACAAGTATAAGCATATAAAATGTAATTATAACCACATCATAAAAATATGTATTAAAAAAAAAAAAAATAACATTTTTATATTATAGAGATCCTTAATTTAAGAACATATTATGTTTAATTAACATCATTAAGTCTACCTATTCAGTATATTAATGATATATTAAAAATTACAATTGAAATTGAATAAAAATAACAATACAATAAATAAAAAATGACATTTTTAAGTTACGCAGTTTCTTACTTTGAAAACAGGCATTTAACATTATTAATGATTTATTAAAAGTTATGATTAAAATTGAATATAAAAAGAGAATATAATAAGACTAAATTTTGAACATAATGAAAACTTACTCTCCTTCTTCATCAGACACAAGTGGATCTCTTAAATAATTTTTAGTTTTTTAGTTTTGATAAAATGGGAGATATATCTCAGGAATGAACTGTAGTAATGTAATTAAATCTATTTTATTATCTTCAGTTATTGGAAATAAATCACTATTATATGCTTTGGGTTGAAATAAGTTTCTATTGACCTGTACATAATTTTTTTTTTGAAGTGTCAATTTCATAACCGTTTTTGTTGTATTGACAAAATAATGTTTTACTTATAGTTTGATGACTTACTACCATTCTGTTCCAAGCTATTTTTTATTGTTCTCCTCGCACTCTGTCACATTCTGCATGGTGTTGATCGTAAGTGTTTTTAGGGCTCGTTCTCAAATGCTTGTACTTTATCAAGAGATCACGTAATTGAACGTTTCTCCGAGTATAATCGCACGACTTTGCACGCATCCAAATGTATAAATGTATGTAAATTGGACGGTTTTTGGGAAAAGAAGCACTACCTAGTCAAAAATAGATACTTATCAGTTATCAGTTATAACACTTCAGTAATGTACACATTTTGTCTGAACTAAACGCCGGGTATTATTTTATGCTTGCATGAGCCTCAAAGTAGAAGTATGTAGATACATTTGTAAAATAATATATAATTTTAAATATTTATAGTTTATACACACAATGTTTTTATCAATATTTTTATTGATGTATATAGTATTATAGCGTACATAGTAGGGTATTAAATATTTTACAATTATATAATGTAATATAATATAATATATAATGATAAACTTCAACATAAATTTGGTCGATATCAAGATTCAAGACTCGGTGTTAAATTCATCAGAACATTATGAACTAAAGAGTTGTAGTAGAATAAAACTCTGTTTTTGAAAAAATACAATACACTTTTTTGGATGTTTACGCAGTAGTGTATTGATAATTAAATAATTCCGCATTTGTTTCAGCTACGATCAGTATACCATATTATTATAAATCATAATAGGAATTAATCATATATTTGAAATTTTTATATTTTAAAATATTTATTATTTATAATTCATAAATATTTCAGTACTGAAATTGTGTAAATAATTAAATTAAAGTAATTAAACTATCCATTATCACTGTGTAAATACCATGTAAAGGTACCTATCAATAGTTCAAAAATAAAATAATTTAAGTATAATATATAATACGAAAATTAGCAAAAAGAACACGACAATTGATATAATGAAAGTATTAAGATTTACAAACAAATAAATTGAAATGATGCCAATGATGGATATTTTAATAGTTTTTAATTGTTAACATTCACTGTCTATTATTTTTCTTTTTTCGCAAATATGTTCATTGTAATTACCAATTCAGATTGTATATGTTCAAATAAATGAAAAAAAAATATTCTCTGTAAATTTATTTTATTCTTATTTTGGTTGAATGTGTGAAGATGTTTATTTTTGAAAAAAAATTAATAATTTATTATAAGGTTCCTCATAATTTGTTCATATTGCAGATTGAAAATATCAAAATTATATTTGCACAATTTTTTATTACACGTGTATAAGTACAATACATGTTGACAAAACTGGATATTTCATCATAGATTAACGATTATAATTATCTATTTTGTTATAAATTATTCCAATAATATTAATTTAAAATACCATTTCGTGTTGACCATCAATAATGAAATATGTATTCAAAATATTATATACATTAATTTTAAGCTGTTTATGCCTCAAATCTATTAACGCCTATCGGTGACATTGATTTACAAGTCAATAACAGCTAGTAAACATACACGAATTAATATTAAAATATAACTACTTATAAGAAATTTATGTAATTTATTTTTAGAATGAATTGCTTATTAGTTATTGTTTAAAATCTAATTGATAATGATGTTACAACATAGTACAATGTATGGTTTGTCATATAAAAATATCTGTCATGTATAGTAATGTAGGTACCTATTTTCTGTACGAAGAACATTTTTTTGAGTATTCTGTAACGTATAATATATTCGATTTTATTTCTAGTCAATAGTAATGTATAAATAATCAAAAACAGTTTAGTCTTTGTGGAACGCCATGTATATTTTAGTAATTTTACTAAGAAAACATTAAAAAAAAAAAAAAAATGTTTCTAGTATCTTATATTTAAAGGTAAAAAAAAACGAAGTATCTATACTCTGTTCAAGTTTCCATCGTATAAGAATAAACATATGAAAAATGTAATCAAATACGAGTTGTAGGTATAGGTACGAATAAATTCACATCACAAGCACCGTTGTTTAAAATAAAAAAAAATTAAAAAAATATTTGTCTAATCCAATAGTGGAAATTACTTATTAGTTATAACTATGTAATAATTCGATTGTAGTTCAACTAACGTTAAGTCACGTAATTAAGAATATATATAAATATAAAGAAAAAAATAATATACAATACTCGTAATAATATTCAGAGTATATTTTATATATGTATGATATATAAATGGTTTTTTTCTAACGTCATGTTAAAAATCTGACCAAGGTAGGTATGGCGTTTGAAGAAAAAATTTTCTCAGTGTTACGAATTCTATAAAAAAAAAGATATACAATAAATATCAACACTATGTATAACGTAATCATAAAACATATCTAGCATACAAATACATACACTTACACAAACATATATACACATAAAACGACGAAAAGCGTGTCGTTAATGTTTAAATAATATAATATGATCGAACGTACATGCTAATATGGTTCACGACACACACTTGTAGTTTTTTAGGAAATAATATGGTGCGTCTGCAGTTCATTTCTTCTTCTTCTTAATCGTGCCTGTGTCAGTTTCGGTTCCGACTGCAGTAGTTTTGTTGTTCCTGTCGCTGTTTTGCGGATGTACTACGCGCGGTATGTTTGTCCTTTTGGGCTGCTTTTGCTGGTGCTGCTGCTGTAAGTGTTGCGGTTGCTGGTGCTGTGAGTGCTGCTGTACCGAGTTGGCTTTGATGACAATCCTAGGTTCAGCGGGTTTTTTGACCGTTAACGACGTTGCTGTCGTAGCCTGCACCGCGGGACAAACCTTGTTGGGTACACAGGGTACCACCAGAGATTTATGTTCCTCGGGTATGGTTTCCTGTTTCGGTTGTCTGTTGAACTGTCCCGGGACGGTCATGGCGTCCGTCTTATCCTTCTTCCTACCCAGCGTCGACGACACCCTGGGCGGCGGCGGTGGAGGTATTTTCCCGGACCCCTCGGGTATGCCCGCCAATGGTGGAGGTAACGACAGCCTACGCTCGGGACCGGGACCGCTTTGTCCCGGAAAGTCCGGCAATACTTTTGGGTATTTTATCCGGCGAACGCTACCACCGCTACCGCCATCCGAACAACAGTCGACAGCGCTGCCGCCGCCGTTTATCGCGTATTCTTTGGAAGTAACATTTACATCTTCGTAGTGTGAGCTCGAATCGAAGCTTGCGTTTTTCGATGAAGTCACGGCCAACGTCTTCGGTTTGCTTACCTAATAAACCAAATCTGTTAGAATTTTCGAATTTTACAACAAATATAGTAATAGTATATCTAATTAACAGACGTGTGTGAAGTTAGCCACCTATATCGACAAAATCTAACAGGACTGATTGTAAGTTAAAAATCTTCATTCGTAAGTATTTGTAAGTTAATTTTCGGAATTTGTAAGTCAGGCCTTTCCTAAAGATCTTTAACTTACAATCGGTCATGTTAGATTTTGTCAATATGGGGGGAGGGTAATTTCACATAGGTACGTAATTAATAGGTACCTGTACAAATTATTAGTATACAGTTTACTGATAAAAATCGGAGTTGGTACCTATACATTTTGTACCATATAGTATTATTTTATATTTTGATATGGGCGATTGTAAACTCGGCCCGAGGAAATAAAATTTTGAAAAGGTCTATTGTAAACTCGGCCCGGGTTTTTTTCAGGTAAAAATAATTTAGGTGTAAACTCGGCCCGACGTAATTTTCTTATAATATTTTTCAGAACCATTTAGCATTACCCAGAGGACACCACGAGGAGGCGATTCTCATTATCCTCCAAAAATTATTTTCATTTCATATGATTATGTATAGTATAAAATTTGTTATATAAATGTAAAAAAATGTATAAATGTATTTGTAAATGTAAAAAATTAGTATATAAATATAAGTCAAAAATTGTAGTAAAAATGTATAAATCTATTTTTTAAAGTAAAAAGCCATGTGTTTGACATATTCACTCATCGATATTTCGTTATTTTTATATTTTTTAAGTATTTTTTCTAAGAGTTCTTTTTTTTTTTTAGTTTTTGTATTCTGAAATTTAAATGGAGCATCTAGACTGTTGATTTTAAAGTACGTTTCTGTTTGTATTTCTTTTAATTTTGCAATGACGGCATATATATTGGGGTGAGTGGAATTGAAACTTGAATTAAAATGCGCATGGAATGATTCACATGCATTAGTTGTTAAACACGTATCAACTGATGCACAGGCCCACATATCAGGTGGAAACATAGCATCTTCTCCTATGTACGTATGTATCGACTAAATAATCTGCAAATTTAGTAACTCGATAATCATCAGGTTTCAATTCCATTAAAGTAAAAATAAAAAAGTCTGAAACATTTTCTGGCTCTAAGAACACTAATCCATAACAATTAATCAACCATTTGCTTATTTCTGAATCTTTTGTTTTGTAGTCTACACTTAATCCATTTTGTTGTATATTTCTATACCAAGCTTGTGTTATGTGGAATCGGCATCCATATATTTTAATGTTTGGCCAAATAAAGTTACAAGCGTGATGAATAGCTTTTTCAAAGTCACTGATAACGGCAATTGGTTTAAACTCACAATTAATAATGCTACATTTTTCAACAACGTGTTTTAAACATGAAATATATGTATTTGTAGTTTTTCCAGTTAATAAACAAAAAACAAGTGGTATGTAATGACCATTTATATGACCATGTATTGTAAACATTTGTTTAAAAAACTTAGTACAGTATGAGAACGTTCCGTCAATATATATATATTTTGATGTGCAAAGCGTTTTTAAATTTGTATCACAGCTAAAAATAATAATTTTTTCTAGCTTATTATTAATTAATAAAAAATTTGTACTTCTATTTGTTACTATTTCCATACTTTCTAATACCTCGTGTACTTCGTCGATCGATTTTGGTAGTGCAGGCATTGATTTTCTTCTAGCGTTGTACATATTCCTCTTAACATACCGAATATCAGTTACTTGCAGATCTTGCACGTCAGGTACATTGTTTACTGCACTACAAAAGATTTTATTTGGCCTAGTACAGATATCCTCAGTTGCTTTACGTTTGGCCTCGGTGGTAACACATTGTCGTTGAAGTACTTGGTCGCTGATAGGTTCATGCAAATGATTATCATTTTTCTCCGTAAAATCATTATTTATTCCAAATGTTTTTAAAAAAGCTGTACATTTGCGGTTTATACATCGCCATTTAATTTCCCCTGAAGCTAACGGACGAGTTACTTTAGAATATTTAAAATGTTCTAAGACTAAAAGTGGTTGTCCACGTTGGGATTCAACTATGCGTGCCATCGTTACGATTGTAAAAACACTACTGATACGAGTGAAACGTCGTTTCAAAAGTCCAACACAAAAATGAAATTATTTGTATCAATGTTTAAATATATTTTAACATTGGTTAGATACGTTTAGATACGTTATTTATTAGTTGCTGGTTAAATTATGTCGTGCTTATTGCAATATTTTATCGCTAAATAGCCTAAATATTATCGGGCCGAGATTACAACGGATATTTTTATCATCTGAAATTTCCGAGCCGAGTTTACATTCTACCTAATTTATCACCTAAAATTTTTGGAGCCGAGTTTACAACAAAAAAGGTAATCGTGGGCCCAGTTTACATTTGCCCTTTGATATATATCCAATATTTATACGGAAACAGTTGAGGAGATTTGATCCCGACTGTTTTTTTACCAACATGCACTTATTTAATGCAAATTGTACGAATTTGTATTAATCAAATATAAATTTAAAAAAAATATTTGAATTCGTTATGACATTGATGATTGTATTGATATTTTATAAACTCAAATAAAACATTCAATTATAGATAAATATTTTGGCGGGGCTGTAAGAGTAATAGAAGTTTTCATAACACTTTCGATGTTTATGGGACATTTTTTTGTGTTATACTAACTTGGGTATAAACAGGTTCTTTTGGGATATCTCGCGCCGGTTCTGATTTTGAGTATCCATGAGTAACCTTAATGCCGGGTCTCTTCTCTTTCACAGCGGGTTTTAATTGAATGCTAGTGGAACTCTTGTGCAACGTGTCTTGCGAAGACATCAAGTCGTCACAGTCGTTAATTGCGTCGCTTCTGGCTAAAGTTTTTTTGTTTATCGAGCCCAATGATAGCGATGATTTTATTTCTACTCTTTCCAAGTGACCCATTGTATCCATGGATTTTGTCAACTCTATGGGTGTTTGCTTTAATACGCTAATCGTTCGGGCGGCCGGTGTGGCGTCAATACCGACAGAAACCTAAGAAGACAAAAATACTTATTAAATCGATATTTAGAAAAAAATTAAATACAGTGTGATAAATTACTTTATTTCTAGACTTTTCAGCTGTTTTATTAACGTCTGTTATTTCAGATGTTTTGTCAGCAATCACCGACGGGTCCTCAGCACACACCAGCTGCCTTTTCTTTTCCTCCCTTCGCTGTCTCCGCAAAATCTTAGGGGAATATCGTTGTATGATCTCCGTGTTAATCCATTCCTTGACTCTAGTGTGTGGATCCATAGTTATCGTGCTACTACTCCTTTGCCTTGAAATCTCCGCCCACTTACCCAACCGTTTACCACCAATGGCTTCGGGTTTTACACTGGCCAACGCAACTGAATCGTACTGTTGGTTCTTGTTGAACTTGTGTACGTTAGCTATTTCTGGTTCTTCTACAGTGGTTTTCATGTAAACATCGTCTTGATCGTCATCGTTATCGTCGTCAAACGTCCGGCTCGTATTTGCACCGTTGCATCTAAACCGGTTGTTGAACAAACGTTCGCGAACTCTTAACTTATCTCTTTGGTAATAAATTCCCCCAAATGCGCAGATGTTGACCAACAGAAAAAGTATCCCGATGATAATGATTAGAGACACGACTACGGAAGACGACGCTTCTACAGTCTCTTGAGTTTTTTTATCGGATGGTTCAGCTGAAGGCTCTTCGCCAGGGTTTGGTTCTTCCGGGAACTCACCGGGCTTCGGCATTGGGTCGTCTGGCATCAATGTGGGCAAACTGAATATAGGTTCGCGATCAATCCATGGAGGTTGTTGAGGTTCTTTAGGTATCGCAGGTAATGAAGAGTACGGCTTAGACTGTTCGGCGTCTTTTTGTCGTTTATCTTCGATCCTTTGTGGTAGATCTACGTTCCAAAATTTACACTTACTCGTTCTATAATTCACTCTTTGTCGATTAGTTAAATCTAAAACCGTTTAAATACAACAATCATATTAATTAAACCATTTGATTATTACCTATATAATGTATCAACTGACTTAGTTCCAGGTAAGCACGATTCGCAGTATTATATTTCGGCCAACGTACATTATTCGTTTTGAAATCGTTTTGATATGATTTTTTCGAAAAATTTGGGTCTCTGAGTATATATAAATTTTTTTTTTGTCAGTTATTAATTAAAAATATCTAATGAAAATATAAAAGTCAATTTATTTTACCCTGTTTTAGCAAAATTACTCCAATGAGTCATTATCATCTCTGATAATCTTTTTTCCTTTTGATCATATTGAGTTTTAAGATGAATTGTATTACCACCCAATGGCACACCTAAAGCGTACGGTAAATCTTCGCCGTTTATACTTTTTTTCACCTATAATATAATAAAAAAATAATATTGTAAATTATACAGTGACATAGTTGTTAAATAGTTTATTTTAGATATCATTTAGAATGGTTTTTTACCACGTCGTATTCACTAAAAGTACTTCTATGAGTAAAAACGTAAAAGTACGTGTTTTCGTTGACCTCTGACTGGATTTCAGCAAGCTGAGTTAAAGGTGCTAAAACCATGGCATCACTTAAAATATCCAGCAAGATATCGCGATTTTCCAGAGCTCCAGACGAAGACCACGTTCGATCACGGTCAGTGTACTGAGCTAAAGTAGACGTAAGAGTAAGATCTGGAAAAAGCTTTGAAAAAAAAATAATCATTATACATATACAATATATGGAGGACAAAGAAAAATAATTGCTTACTTCAAATTTCGCTTTCATGTAATCCAACAACATTTTGTGTTGTTCGTTTTCTAACATACCATGCATTAATGACACGCTGTCCAACAAGTGGTAACTTTCGTATTCCGTGACACCGGCTAGGATTTTATAACTGAAAATTAAATTGATTAAAAACGTAAACACGTTTTATGTAAATTAATAGTTTAATTATAATTTGGTCGTCTGTGTTAATATTATATATACTTTTTCATTAGATTCTTGTGCTCTTTTAATAATGGCAAGGGTTCGTTGGTAATCATTACGCCATCTACCATCGGGCCGAACACGGTGACAAACGGTGGTAAGTACATCTTGATTGACACTAAATCTGTAAACCGCTTTCTTCGTAAGCAGTCAAAAAACTTCTCATTGCCACCTGGCTCGCAATTCAACGATTGTCCAACTTGTATGGTGTTCATGATGGGATTTTTCACCAACGCCCAATCGGACAACGCAGAACCGCTCATCAGTATAGCTCTTTGGAATAAATCTGGCGGGATTAATACAAAAATCTAGCTCATTTATAACAATTAAATATATACATTTTACCGTTGTCAAACGTTAGAAGATAACAAAACGACAGCATTAAAGCAGTATAGTATAAGTTTTATCATGAAATCAATGGTGTTATTTTAGTATGTGTAATATTGGTTCCTATATCTCTTTTTCCCTATTACTATTACAGCGGATATGCGTTGTTTAAAAAAATATTTTATCTATTCGTTATTTTGTTTATTGTGTAAATGCGTGGTAGGTACTCACTATTGTTATTGACTGGTGGCGCCATCATTAGAAAATTTGCGCAAGCTGCACCGGTGCCGTGTCCCATCACTGTAACCGCATTTGGGTTACCGCCAAATGCTTGTATGTTATTCTTGATCCATTCTAAGGCGGCCATTTGGTCCAACAGGCCGAAATTACTGGCCGGAGTGTCTCCACCATTGGACTTTAAAAAACCTAAATTAACATATTCGATAAAATATTGTAATATTAACAGTAATAATATTATTATGAATAATATATATGTATTACACATTTAAGAAGTATATGTGTAATATCAATCTGGTGTTCTAGTTATAAACAACACAGGTAATAATAAAAAAAAAAGAATCTACTGTAGGGACTGGACACTGGAATACCGGATATATGCTATAGATATGTAGACCTATTATCTTTAGACTTTATTCTTCATTATGTGTATTACGACTTACGAGTATTGTACGAAAGGCAAATAATGTATACATTATTCAGATGATGAAAACTACCCATACCTATTGGATAAAATAAAAATATTATTTATAAGACGTTTAGTTAATTACCCGAGTTATTTCTACATTATCTACGGCTCAGTGGACGAAATACATAGTTAGATAAAACGTACGATAAATTAATGATTAATAATTTAATAAATGTCTGTTAAATAAATTTTATACTTCTTAATAATTTAATAATAATCTAATAAATAACGTTTAAAAAAAATATATGATTTGGTTTTTTGTATAATAAGGTAACAATAATCATACAAGATCGCGTTCTCTTTAAAATTTATATTTAACTTTTTTATTTTTATTTATATATTTTTTTTTTATTATTATTATATATAATTTATATATATTATAATTATTTATTATATATTATTATATACTCGTATTATTAATTATGATATATTATATATTGTCAGCTTATTTAGCAAACGGCGTAACTCCCAAAAATTAAAATTTCATTTTTTCATGTCATTCAATGGCAAAAAAAAATGCGCATCGATTGGTATTATAATCATAATATTTAAGTGTGTTTTCTTTCGAGAAACCGCTGTTAATTGATACACATTAGTCGTAACTCCGATAAACAAATAATATAATTTCTATAGAAACCGGCGTATCTCAATATATATAATATTATATATATTATATTATATTATTATTTTATATTATATTATGTATGTTGGGTAGCCTGTGCGAATACCGTGCGCAATAGCCTAACACACACACTCAAGCAGTCACATCTACATGACTTACGCCTGACGCTCGATTCTCCAAGAAGGTCGTACTACAAACCGATAGCATAGATGTTTACACATCAAAAAAAAAAAAAAAAATAAAATAAAATAAAGTAATTTATTCTCAAATACTTAGTCTTATTATGTCGAGCTTTTTGATTGAAAAATACATTGATAACATCTTCATGATTTAATTTGTTGATTAAATCTTATTTGACTGTTAAAATTGAGGAAAAGTTTAAATACTCTTCAGTGATTTTGAATCTTATATATGATTTAATTTGTATAGAACTGAAAAAATACCTTTTTGATAACGATTTGATACGAGACAGAAGAGGAATATGAGTATGTTAACGTACTATTTTGTTTTTTCTTCAGAACAATGGTAATAGTTTTAGGATTTTTGTGACTAATGTAAAATTGAAGATTTGAAATTCCAACAGTTTCATATTCCCATCCAATAATGTCGTAAAATATCAAAATAATAAACACTATTATTATATTAAAAAGTATCTTTACTACATATTAACCTTTCAGAGTATTAAATTTACAACATTCTTCTTTGGCTATGGGTAAGTAATAAGTATCCTTAGCATAAGGCCTGCTACGACCAGTTATACGTACGAACGCGGTAACAGGTTAATTATATTATCCACAAGATAGAGGACTTACCTAAAACGCCCACACGGTAGTTAATTGTAATAAAAATAACTTTTCCGTAGCTGGCCAGCACGGAACCGTCGTATGGGTTGCCAGAGTTCCACTCAAACGATTCCCCATGAATGAACATTATCACAGCGTACTTGGTCTTCTTGGTGGTGGCTTTGTAATCTTTTCCCATTTCATCGTTCATTTCGTTTTTTGGATCTATAAAATAATAGTACAATGTAAATTGTATTTAATATAAACAACGGTGTATATTCGACAGTAGATTCTTAAACTATTGTTGTGTATATATGATGGCCTTGGTTTTTCTATAAATGGTTCGAACTTTTTAAGTAGGTAATATTATTATTGCATTACGATTTTTTCAACCCCATTTCTTTGGTCTGAACTTTAAGTAAATTCTAGTATATTTGTCTTAATAAATAATACAATATTAATACTTTTTAGTTACAGATCCTATCTTCATACTTTTAACAACGAAATAAACGCGTAACTAATCACAATTCCTAATCATGTGTGTAAAAATAATATCAGGAGAATAGTTATCTGAAAAGATATTTATACTCAAAATAAAAATGAATAATATTGTTTATTAAAATATTTATTTATCTATTTTCAACTGTTGTATTTTTTTATTATCAAGTATCGCTATTAATTCAAACCACGAGGATACTACTTTATAGGATACTCGAATAAATGATTGACGCTGTCTCAGTGTTATTTTGTTTACCGACGTGGTAGAGTAAACATTAGCTTTACGTTCCGATTGAGCTTTAAATAATTCGTTATATGCGTGGGGAATACCACCACCATCCACAACCACTGCTAACTGACGAGTATAATGGCAAACTTACAGACGTGTAGTTTTTCTTTACTCTATTTATCTCGCACTCCTACGTATTTTTTTTCCAAATAAATATTTGGCCTATTACCAATCAAGTTGGTTTTTAAACAAGTATAGTAGAAAGAAATAAAAAATAAAATATATAGAGTATAGACGAATATCGTATGTATATAACACATAGGTGCTAATCATTAAAAAAAAAATTACAAGTTTATAAAATAAAAATTGGCAATAATTATCCATTTTTCTTTCATATTTTGAAAATTTTTGTGAACTATTAGTTATATTATATATTATAATATATTGTCATATATTCAAAAATAAAATGTGTATTCTAATAAATTATTAAATTATTGGTATGATTTAAACAAATCCGAATAGACTATATTAAGTATTATATAGTATGGATCCACTTCCACATTTTTTATACTGTTTATATATTTGTAGATCAATTACTTAAATAAATTTGCAGTGTTAATTCTGATTTGATTTTTAATAATTATAAGTGGGTATTAAATTAAATAAGTAAATGACGGTAAGTATATCACGTTGATATAATATGTACTCGTAATGTAAATTGTATAAAGAATTAACATTAACACAAATACATAATTATATTGATATAAATAATATAATACGTATACAGTAGTTTTTGTACTGTACCTCTTGATTGCAGTTATTATTTGTATACATAAAACATACGATTGCATTAGAAATCTATAGTGAGTTTGTATATGCGCAGAGAATATCATACATTACTTTTAATAATTTAGCGATTATATATTTTACAACTAAACATAGACACAATCGAAAAATCTCCATGACACTCAATACCTTTAAACAATAACAATACAAAGTTAAATTATAAATTTTTTTTCATTATCATTGATTTTATAATCTATAACTCTTGAACAAATTATTGTATTGCGAAACTGTATTTCGTTCACGTTTTACGTATTAATAGAATATCTGTTGGATAAACTTACAGTATTTATTATTCTATAATTTAGTTCAATAATTGATATATATATATATATATATATATAGGTATACGTGCACATGAATTTCGCATTCGCTTTTCGGTAGTCTTAATAATCCAACAAAGTGTATATCAAATAATTTATATTAATAATATGGCATCAATACATAAAATGATGTAATTTATACGAAAAAAGTTCGTCGGTATCGCGTTTTTGCGTGTGCAGCAATAGTTATAGGTTACGGTGTGATTATTTTAAGAGACGCAGCGAACGTGGCCGATGACAGATATACACAGAGTAAAAAAAAATAAATAGGTTGCCACGGATAAACCGTATGGTATTTTGGCAATACGTTTAAGTAAAGCAGTAATATACTTAGTAGCAGTAATTATACGTGTGGTGTGTTTACAAAAAAAAAAATGTATAACGGTGTGAAAATATTTTCGGCAAAAGGTATAAGGTAAACAAGACGAAGTTTCGATAATAATATTATATTCGTTTGAAAATTTTTATGCGGACAGTTAAAATAATGGAACAGACGACAGACGACTTAGTATAAAAAATAAACGTTGCTTGCTTTACCATAATTTATGACTTTGTATTTGACAACCTAAATCTCTTTTGGGATCAAAATACTGTTTAGTGTTATCGGAGTCGAATCTCCGAGGCCTATTGTTTGCATGTGTACGAACAAATGTCGTGTGGACTCTTCCCGTTAATTTTGATAAGTGAATGTAAACTACATACCATGTGTTGATCATTTAATCGAGTACCTATATTGCATGCCTAATCGATACGTTAATCGATGTACAGAGTTCAAAATAATGTGGTACATAATTGCAATTTATTTTTCTTGTCTAGCGAACCCTCTTATTCTTGTGTATATTTGTGTCCTGTCTTCGTGGTCGAGTAGCTCCATTCGATATTTAAGCCGACATGCCATTAGGGCGTGACAGCTGCAACCCTCCCCACAATGGCCCATATGATGTCTCGTTGTTTACTTTTTTATTTTCTCTCATATTAGAATTTTTTTTTTTTTTGTACGCTGCACTCGTCTTGTTAAAGTAGAACTTCGGAACATAGCTTCTCAACTCTATTTTCAGATATGTAGAATGTTAGACTACAAATACTTTTATTTAAGTTTTTAATAAAACTATATTTAGGTGCTTAAGTAAATTAATTATTTAATACCTCGCTTTAATTTATTTTTATCGTTACTTTGGTTATTGTTTATTCGATTAAGAAGCAAGATGATTGAGCAAAGGTTTATGAATTAGCTCTTTTTAATAAACACCTCAAAGAACATTGTAGTTAATAGTATTATTATTCGCTTTGCTTCCTCTAACATAACAGCTACAATATTTGTTGTTTAGTTTTTTTATTTGCATGAAATAAATTAAATTTTTAAATTGTATTTGTCTGCAGTACATTTTTAATATGTATTATAGCTAATAAACGTAGAAATCATACGAAGCGTACAGTTTTTTATCGGGTTATAAGGACGATGTTTTTAGCAGCAATAATCATTATTTTTTATTTCACCCCTCTTCTTAATATTGACCATATGATATCTCTGAATGAGATTTATTTTGTGATTCACATTGTAATTGTAGTGTAATCAGGGTGAGCCATATTAACTGATTAGTATAATAATGTTTTTTCTTATAATTTCTTATTTTCTTATTTATTTTTCGATAACTATTCGTTATTACATTTTAATTTGATCAAATGATTTAAAATAATGTATAGGTGTCATGATATTTACAATATCTTACCTGTAGATTATTATAATGCTTAAAAAGTCTATAAATATAGAACATTTATGATCTCATGGTTGGATTCGTGGACCCATAACGTTGATAAGTTTATAACCCGTAACACTATTAACACTATATTCATAAGTCTGCAAAAAGTGCGTAACTATAAGACATTGTGAACTTGGTTAGAATGTGAAAGGGGATAGAATAAATTAAAATGATTTCGTAGCTTATAATTATTGATTATCCGAAAAATGAAAAAAAAACTTACATAAGTTACCTACCTAACCTATAAACTATAGTAAATTGTTTTAAATATTTATAGTATCGGGTATTATCTACTGTTTTTTCATGATATTACTTTTACTTAAATAATTAATTTTTATTTTATGTAATATTTAAATAATTTAATGCATTTTTAATGTAAAAACATTAAACATTTTGTGATACAAAAATAAATTAATATTTGAATTACAACAAAAAAATTAAAATTATTAAGTAAGTGAATTACCGATGAATTGTTTTCAATAAAGGACGTTGATGGAAAAAAATTATATGTAGGTACTAATTTATGAGTGATATTTTTACTGTTTATTTTTTTTCTCCAGACGTCAAAACACGTTATTTAAGTGACGGCCTACGTTTGAAAACGCGGCAGCCATTTCGGTCCACGAATAACATCTGGCCGCCTAAAAAGTTATACAAAAATACACATAATATGATATTCAGTACCTATATATTATGTACCTACACATAAATACCAACATATTACATATACTTATACGATTACACTTGCAGTATATTATACCCGTTTTGGTCGGAATCCTGTTGACAGTGTACACTGTACGAGTACACTCATCACATAAAAACGCATCTTTAGATTAAAATATATATCATATTATATATAGCGGATATGCAATGGGTTCCAAAAAAAGATATTCAAGATTTTTGTCGAAAAAGGTTAACGGATGTTTTAATTTTTATTGTTAATCGTATATCATAACAAATGGTTCATTTTCTGTAATAATATAAAGTAATATAATATTATGATATTCTGTATTAGCATCTAAACGCTAAAATATAATTCTTCCGGCAGATCGGTTGGTTTATCAATGACGTCTTAATTCTTAGTAGGACGTCGTTTATAACCTTCATGTGTTTTATCGTAATATTAAATAACAGAGTAATAAGTAAAGTGGATTCTTAACCTGAGCGTAAAATTTGTTGTATTATTCACTAATAAGATAGAGACAACATATGCAAGAACGAAGTGCAGCGTCCTCTTAGTGCGGAGAAATTACGGAAACCACGTATTTAACCTTCCAAAATAAAAATATTATATTATACAATAAATATACTCATGCAATAATTATAATAAGAAAAGTTTTGATCACGGGGTGCTGTAGTTATCATGAGGTATTTAATTACAGTATTATATGATTATGATACACTTCCTCTACACTGCCCGAAAGTAAGAACTTGTCCGAATAGCGAGTTGTCTTTGTCTTCCTAATCACTCACCTCAATGGCATCCTGCCTTTCCCGTAAATTCACGTAGTTAAACTGTAACACCATCAGTCACAACTTTCCTCGCCCCCAAACATTCAAAATTGTAGTGGT